GTGGCACACCTGGATCCTGTGGCACACCTGGATCCCTTTGCACACTCGGATCCTGTTGCACACTCGGATCCCGTGGAACACCTGGATCCCTTTGCACACCTGGATCCCACCACATTCCCATCTCCAGGTCCTGTGCCACACTCGGATCGCCTTGCACACTCGGATCCCACCACATTCCCATGTCCAGATCCTGTTGCACACCTGGATCCTGTGGCACACCTGGATCCTGTGGCACACCTGGATCCCGTTGCACACTCGGATCCCATCGCATTTCTGTGTCTAGATCCCATTGCACACCAGGATCCCATTGGACACCGAGATCCCCTTGCACACCTGGATTCCTTTGCACACTCGGATCCCATCACATTCCCATGTCCAGGTCCCATTGAATCCCCACATCTGGATCCCCTTGCACACTCGGATCTCTTTGCACACTCAGATCCCGTGGCACACTCGGATCCCATCACATTCCCATGTCCAGATCCCCTTGCACACCTGGATCTTGTGGCACACCTGGATCCCCTTGCACACTCAGATCCCATTGCAGCCCCATATCTGGATCCCGTGGCACACTCGGATCCCACCACATTCCCGTGTCCAGATCCCCTTGCACACTCGGATCCCATTGCACGCTTGGATCCTGTTGCACACCTGGACCCCACTGCATTCCCATGTCCAGATCCCATTACACACTCGGATCTCCTTGCACACCTGGATCCCATTTCACACCTGGATCCCCTTGCACACCTGGATCCCATCACATTCTCATGTCCAGGTCCCGTTGCACACTCGGACCCTGTTGCACACTGAGATCCCCTTGCACACCGAGATCCCATTGCACACCTGGATCCCGTTGCACACCTGGATCCCATTGCACACCTGGATCCCATTGCACACCTGGATCCCGTTGCACACCTGGATACCATTGCACACCTGGATCCCGTTGCACACTCGGATCCCGTTGCACACCTGGATCCCATTGCACACCTGGATCCCGTTGCACACTCGGATCCCGTTGCACACCGAGATCTCTTTGCACACTCAGACCCTATTGCACACTCGCCTCCCCCCTCTCCCCCTCTATCCCTCACACCTGGGGGTCTCTCCCCGGAACTTGGGGGTCTCTCCCCGGTACTTGGGGGTCCCTCCTCGGTACTTGGGGGTCTCTCCTCGGTACCTGGGGGTCTCACCCTCACACCTGGGGGTCTCTCCCCCGTACTTGGGGGTCTCACCCCGGTACCTGAAGGTCTAACCCCAGTGCTCAGGTGTCTCACCACCATACCTGGAGATCTCCCCCCAGTACCTGGGGGTCTCACCCCGCTACCTGACGGCCTCACCCCCACACCTGAGGGTCTCACCCCCACACCTGGAGCTCTCCCGCCGGCACCCACCGCCCCCTCCCCTCCCTCCGCCCCTCCCGCGGGGCCTGGCGGCGCCTCCATCACCTCTCGAGGAAGAGGCGGAGGGCGCGGTCGATGTTCATGCGGTGCCCCACGCGGGTGACGCCCAGGTCGATGTAATCCTCCTTGGTCAGCGCCGGCAGGTGAGTCCCGTCGATCTCGTTGTGCAGGAAGCGCGCGCGGTGCTCGCCCAGGTTCAGCGACTCCAGCCAGTCCGCCACGTCGAATTTGCTCCAAAAAGCCAAAGGTTTGGCTCCGAAAGGTTTCCCGGGGGCGGCGGCGCGGGGAGGGGACAGCGAGCGGGCCGGGGAGGCGTCCGGGAAGGCGCCGCGCAGCTCCAGGTATCCTCCGTACAGGTGAGCCGCAGGTAAGGTGGGCAGGGAGGCGGGGCGGGGGGCGGGGCTGCCGCGGCGTTCCGAGGGGGGAGGGGCGG